CTCAAAAAAAATGTTTTTAAATAAATAAATAAAAAATAAAATTAAAAATAATAATAATAAGTAATCTAGAGATGATTTAAAGTCTAAGGGGCATATGCTTAGGTTATATGCAAATACTATAACATTTTATATAAGGGACTTGAGCATCCACAGATTTGGGGGCAAGGGGACACGTCCTGGAACCAGTCCCCCATGGATATGAGGGAATGACCACATATCATAAGAATTGCATTTAGGAAGTGTTGGGTATGATATTAAGGATATAAGAGATGATATCCAAAATGTCAAAAGGACAGCCAGTAGGGCATGGACACTAAACGTCCAGAATGGATGACACCTGTAAACAATAGATAAGGCCATATTAGTGTGTACCAACTGACCTGAAAGATGTGATATTCAGGATGATATTTGTCTAAAAAGCCAGGAATACTCAAATTCTATGCTTGTGCATCAGATTCCCAGGATATATATGCTCAAAAGATATAGCAAAGTACCTTATCATTGGCTGGAGCTTCGGTCCCAACTTCTAGCAAAGAACTCAGGTTAAATCTGAGTAGCCTCAAACATAGTAGGCCCAAAGCCCTTCTCTGTGTTTTCCTACTGGAAGCATGAACTTGAGTCTCAGATCTGTTCACGCCTCTGCATGGACAAGTCATATCCACCGGCTGTGAAGCAAAAGGTCCAACGGGAGAGACAGTAAAAGAGACGGTTTGCCTCAAAGCCCAAACGTGTCTACCTCAGGCCTTCTCAGACCAGGGCAGAGGCACAGGACTTCTCAGAGGAGTCACCAAATGGGGAGGGGAAAAAAGATGAAGTGGTGAGTGTGTATCACTCCGGCTGCATCACCCTTTGGCGAGGGCTGCGAGAGCCCTGGGTGAGTCTCCACCTGGGAGGAGATTCTCACTTCTCTGACTTTCCAGAGCGAGGAGTCCAGAAGGGAATCCATCCTTGTATACCAAACATTTCAGCTCAGCACACTGATTCCATCCACTGATAGAGAGTGACCAGTAAGTTATCCTTAAGCCTGTGTGTCTAAACCAAAGCCTGGCCTTTCAGGAATCGCTGTGAATTTACCTTAACAATTAAGTTAGCATAAAGTGTCTCTGTCCACTGTACTCATGTGTATCACTTGGGATTTTGTGGTTGCAAGCAACAGAAACCAATGCTAACTTAAGAACTTTGCTGGAAGCTTATGAGACAGCTCACAAAATCAAAGGAAAGGCAGAACGACCAGGACAGCTATAGAATCTGGGCAGCAAGAACTAATGGTCGCTTCTTCCAGGCCAATGACAGGATAAATCAGCCCCAACATTTTTGATCCTTGTATCACATGATGCAAAAACAAAATATCAGGAAAACAACGTCTAGATGACCTAGTCTGATTGTGTGCTCATCTACTGGACAGAGAAAGACATGGCATCTAACAAAGGACTGATTTGGGGAGGGGAGACTGGCTTCTCATTTTCCAAAAGAATAGGAAAGGTTGTGGGGCCATCCAAAACAGTCCACTGTCACATCACAGCCACAGCATCATTAAAGTACCGAGTGAAGGCATGCATCAAGGGTAAGGTGGCCTGGGGACTGCAGTGTGTAACAGGCCAACAGGCAACCTCAGAAAAATGGGTTAAGTTGGAGCAGTCTATAGGGATAGTTGAGAAATCCAGTAAATATGCATAACATAGTTGTTCTAAAGATGTACCTGGGACTTGTTTTGAGCAGGTATCGTAAGACATACAGACATGAAAATGACTGCCATGAAGGAAGAAGTTTTTTTATTATACTCACAATCCACTAGAAATAGGAGGCCTGCCATGTCACATCACGCCATGCAGGGCCACGCAGGCAAGCACCAAAGCAAGACGAGCAGGCAGAGAGAGAGGGGAACAGCGGACAGGCGCTTATACTGCAGTTTACACAGAAAGGAATAAGAAAGCAAGGTCAGCAAGCAGTACAAACTTGTGATTGGATAGTTTGAATAATTTTGGCAGGCAGTGGGCTGTAGGGATCGTGCCCAATTGTCCAGTACCTGGCCCTGTGATGATTAAGGCAGGAGATAGTGTCTCAGAGTGAAGAAGTGTGATCAAAGGAAAAGGGGGAAAGGGGGACGGTCTGCATAGCCAGTATGCTAGCTGGCAAGTTGTTTGTTATCTCTAGGAATTAGTTAACCCTAGAAGTGGCAGTTCCCCAGGTCTGCAAGGCCCCAAATGCCAGAGCATCAAGAACATAGAAAGTCAGGGCCAGCCCTGTGGCCTAGTGGTTAAATTCAGTACACTCTGCTTCGGCAGCCCAGGTTTGCAGTTCAGATCCCAGGCACAGGCCTGTACCACTCCTCAGCCATGCTGAGGCGGTGACCCATGTACAAAATAGAGGAAGATTGGCACAGATGTTAGCTCAGAAAAAAAGAGGAAGATTGGTGACAGATGTTAGCTTAGGGCGAATCTTCCTCAGCAAAAGAAAAAGAATACAGAAAGTCAGAAAACATAGCCTATGCAGCTATATTCTTTGGGCAGACGTGAGGACATACGAAGATACTCAATAAATGATAGAAAGTGTAGCATGAAGCCTACAGAGACCCATTCTAGTCTCATTTTACTGACCATCCAACATGCTACAGACACAGTCTGCTGAGTCTCCTTACACCCTTCGGGCTCCTGTTCCTTTCCTCTAGCCTTGTTTACCATTCCCTAACTCCAGGGTTTATCAAAACAGTTAAGAAAGCTACAAATATTGAATGACTCTGTTTTTAAACATGACTCTACGGTATATCCAACCATATTTTAACAACTTCTTTTAAGATATAAAAACTCTTGGTTATATTATAGATTTATGGATGTATGATCTTCCCAGTTGATGCCAACATATAATAAATTCCCAGTAATTTAAAATGTTTAGTATGTGAAACTAATTTTTTGTGTACTTTGATCTTCCTCTGTCTTCGCATTTGTTTCAATTCCTCTACTAGAATCATATTCTTATTTATTTTCTCTCTGTGCATTCTTGGGATATTTCTGCTCAGTAGAAATGCAATATCGAGCTCCACTGTTTTGTTAAATATATCAAACAGCAGACTCTCTGGACGATAAGCCAAAAGTTGCCAAAGGATGTATTTCTTTTCTCTGCTGCGAATTATGCCAGCAGGCTCAACAGAGTGGTAAAGACTGTGTGTTATATATTATTGACTGAATATGTGAGAACCAATCCTTGCAAGGACCTGATTGTCCTGCAGCCTTATGCCATCAAGAGAAATTTAAGCATTTTCTATTTTCTCCACAGATGAAGTGTATGTTTTCTTTGGCTTTCTATTGAGTTGGGCTAATCCTTCTCAAATCAGGAAATCCAGGCTTAATATACATAGGCTCTCCTTTGAATAAAATCTTCAATATCTTGCATTTACTGACACACAGTCCATTTGTCATTTTAATTGTGCTCACACCATAGCAAATTTCATTTGTGATTCGGAGTTTTTTTGATTTTCAACAGTAGTTGAAAGTGAATTGGCATAGTACTTTAAATGGTTTCTTTTGTAAACAGTGATGATATATGTTCCCATACAATTATTATCTTTAAAGTTATTCAGTTTTCATGTTGACAGAAAAGGAAACTCAGTTAACATTGACTTTCTACACTTTAAATCAATTCTCCAGTATCTTCATATGACTATAAGTCTCCACTCTAAATTTCAAGTTTTTACATCTTATTTTTACACTTACTCATTGCGTAAACCTGGAAAAATTGCTTTCTTCTTTTCTTTCCATTTCCCCATATATAAAAGAGTTAATGATGTAGCTAGCACAGAGCATATTGTGAAATTCACTGAGAAATCACAGTGAGGTGCTGTTTTGGGGGAAGGAAGAACCTCCATGAATAACGAACGGGCTGCACGAGTCTTCCTCCAGCACGTCTCCAACAAGCCCACAATGCCGATGCACAGATTTCTGCCTACTTCTAGAGTTTACAGTTTTCTCCTTTAATAGAGTAACCATTCCCTGTGAAGTTTAGTCAGATACTGCTCATTTTCTCAGTGTTTCTGTTTCCTAAATAAAGGCGTGGAATGGATTCAAGTCCTGAATTCTAGGAACTTCAATAACCTGAGATGTGTTTAAAGAAAATTGTTAATGAATCATGATGCTACCCCACCACCATAAGACTCTGGAATGTTGTCTTTGAAAGCAACATAGACAACATTCAGTCCAACCTCTGCACTTTACAGAGGGCAAAACTGAGCTTTGGGGAGCTTGAGGAATCGAGATTTGCCCAAAGTAGTAAGACTCGTAAGTGACAGATCCATATATATTATTTATATGTAAATTTCAGAAGATGAAATACTGATATTTCTTCATTTTCATTAGTTCCTTTTTAAAAATATCTTAAGACTAATATGGTCTGGTTAAATTTTTTTTTTTTTGAGGAAGATTAGTCCTGAGCTAAATCTGTGCCAATCTTCTTCCTTTATTTTATATGTGGGACGCCTGCCACAACATGGCTTGATAAGCAGTGTGTAGGTCTGCACCCGGGATCCAGGCTGGCGAACCATGGGCCACCCAACCCCCGGTCACCCAAGGGAGAGCGCAAACTTAACCATGGTGCCATGGGGCCGGGCCCTAGCCTGGTTAAATTTTTGAAGTCTCAAAACACATCTAAAATAACCTGTTGGTGTCTTTCCTTTATCAAAGAATTACTACTGAGGTTTGTGCCTTTAAGAATGGTTTCTAAGAAACGATTTCTTAGGTGATATTCAACATATTTAACAATAGTGCATCATAGATATTGCCCAACAATTGTTGTGTCTGTCCTGGTTCTACCAGCTGCAATAAGCCTGAGAAGATTATTCAAAAGTGGACAATGCCCAGGGGCCCTCCCTGTGCCAGAGTGGTTAAGTTCTCGCATTCTGCTTCGGTGGCCCAGGGTTTTTGCCAGTTTGGATCCTGGGTGTGGACATGGCACCACTCATCAGGCCACACTGAGGCAGCATCCCACATAGCATAGCCAGAGGCACTCCCGGATAGAATATACAACTACATACTGGGGGGCTTTGGGGAGAATAAGAAGAAAAAAAAATAGACAATGCCCCATGCTAGAAAAACATAATCCTGAGAGGCGGTTACAACACAATGAAAATGTAACAATACCCAGCAAAGCTATAATATTTTCATTATCATGTTTGTTCAACACAATTTGTTCTTTCTCAAAAATTTAAAGAGGAAACAAAGGGTTTTTTCCCCTACATGATATTTAGTGGCCTAACCATTAGTTTTAGCCATTGGTAATGGTAACAGAAAGGAGCTTCTGGAGCTGGTAGAATTGATTGCCTCTTCAAGTTAGAATTTTTAATATATTATGAAATAAACTCTGGCCGTAGTTATTCATGTATATAGTTTGTAGAGTTGTTACACTGGGTTTGGGAGTGAGGACATAATAAATATGCTTTATTAGCAGTCTCAAGTAGGGGCTAGATTTGTGTTTGCTGATTGACTACAGAACTTCATAAACAGTGCAATGTGTTTTTCCCAAAGTCAATATGGAAACGCACTGTAGTGCTTGCTGTACTGAACAAGTCTGAACCTGAGGCAAGAACACATTCAGTTTTCCTGTGTCTCTCTGTTATTTGGAAGAACCAGATGTAGCATTCGTTTGTGCTCTTGCTCTCACCTAGAAGAAATTTAAAAGAATCATAAAATATTAGTTGTTAGAAGGGGATATAGGAGTCTAATATAACTTTCCACACAATGGAAAATCCCTTTTGCAGCATCCCTGAGAATCTTCACCCAGCTGCTTCTTGAGGATTTTCTGTGACGGGGAGTGCCTTGTTTCGTGAGGCGGGCTGTTCCTTACTCAAGAGCGTTGGTTGTATAAAGGTCTGTGTTAACCCTGCATCAGTGTTTCTGAAAGTGTGCTCTCTGGACCAGCAGCAGCAGCAGCACCCCCTGGGACTTGTCAGAAAGACAAATTCTCAGGCCTCCACTCCAGATTTACTGAATCAGAAATTCTAAGAATGGAGCGCAGCAGCGTTTTACACGCCCTCCGTGTGATTTTGATGCATGCTAAAGTTTGAGAACCATTGCCCTGTATTCAACCCCACACAGCAGACTTAACAAGGACACTGTGCTAGGACTCTTTGGGGTGCATATATCAGAAATCTAGCTATAAATTTAGTATAATAGGGGATATTCTAGTTCACAAGCCTCAGGCTAATGGAGTACCTCCTAGGATCAAAGGGATTGATCTGCACCTATAGGACCTGGGCTGCTGGGACCGGAAAGAAGATAAGGAAGGTCTTACTCTCCTTCATGCTCGCTCACTAGTGCCCACACTGGCTCCATCCCCAACCTGGCCCATGTGTTGCTCATTTCTCTTTGTTCTGCTTGATTTTATCCCCTTCTAATGCACATAGGTTTCTGCCCCTGGTGGAGGAGATGGCCGCCTCACCTACGCTCCCACCTGCACACATACCTTCATAGCCCTTTAGCACCTGGCCTCAGCGGCAAGGCTGTTCTTCCTCAGGCTCCAAATCAAGAAATCCCAGGGAAGCACTCCTAGGGCGGGAAATAACCAAAGAAAGGCGTTGGGAAATCTTGCTAGGCAGACAAATAACAATAGTCACTATAGTCTATTACATAAACTATAGTCAATTTTACTTTGAGAAAAGGAAGTTTAGAAAGACCAGTCACCTTCCCCAAATCACTCAAGTCAGTGAAAATTGAAACAAAAAATTTTTTTTAAGTAATAATATTTAAGATTATACAATAGTCATTCATTTACTGAAGACCTTCCTAGAAAAATTTAGTTTGGGTTTTAAGTCAACATACTTGTACCGAACTTGCTCCCCCCATGAAAGAAAAATAGTTTTATAAAAATAGCTTCATGAGCCTGCAGTAAAACAATGGTGAAAGAAATCTAATTTTTCCTACTGCAGACAGACGGTTGAGATTTTTTTGCATTTATGTCATTCAAAAATGATTGTTAGAAACTTCCAACTTGGCAGGAATGTACTCCCAATGGAGGAAGGGAAAAAAATCAAGCCAACCTAAAGTCATGAAGATTTAAATAATGTATTTAAGAACAAGCACAAAATAGAACATTTTATGAGTTTTTGCAAGAACTTTGACTTAAAGCTTCCTGATTCGAAAAATTGTAATTTAGGGATTCAACTTTAGAAAGACAATTTCTTTTTCTTTTGATACACCGTTTACCTAAACCCAGAAAAAAATGTAGTATGAAACATATGCATTCAAACATACATGATCAAAGAATAAGGAATTCCAAAGATTTTCACAGCAGTATTCATTTGATCCTAAGTTTGGGATCAGTTTGATCATTTGAGCCATAAGTTGGTCTTCCCATTTTCCCTTTGAATGGTATACGAAATCATAACGCAGTATGGCTTACATTTTTAGGGCATATAATAAACCATATTAAATGTGCTCTATGGCTGAATCAACATAAGAATTTTAACTCTGGAATTTCCTGGTTGTTGAATGTATAAATTCATAAGACTGTGTGTTACGCCATTTGTGGACAGTTTCATAAAAACAAGCACCACTCTAGGTTTTGTCTTTTCAACTTTATGTTTCCTTCCACAGATTGGGCCATTGTGGTTCTCCAAGACAGTCTGGAGCAAAGGTTTATGTCAGCCAAAGTGGAGTCAGGCTAATGTGGCACTAAGTAGATTCTGAGATTGAAGCTCATTAATATTTGAAGAAGATTCTATATGAAGTAATTGGTTTTTAATTCTTAAAATCATTATTGCCTTTTCCCACAAATTTCTGTCAAACAGCAAGCAGGACAGAAGGTTGTTGCAAAAACAAAGAAACATTAGTAGTTCTTACGTAAAGGTCAAATCTTGTTACAATATGAGCTCTCTATTTCTCCATGACCTTTTGCAATAAATGGTAAATCTGAAACTGTGTGAAACACAGGGATTAGACTCGGTTTGTCCTTACTCACAATTCCAGTTTAGTGGATGACTGGTAAAAATAAAATCAGAAGAGCCTCATTCTGTTCTCCATTTGGACACTAAATAAGCCCACCAATACCAACCATAAGTAGATTACCTGGGAAACGGTAAATTACAAAAATTGGTATGGATATCCCTAAAGCCATCTGGTTCTACTCTCACTGTCACTTTCAGCTGGAACTCAAAACTGCCAACATCCTGGAACCAGCTCTTGTCTTAACAGGAACATAGATGAACCTCTGGCTGGAGACAGAATCTTGCTTTGGGGTGGGTTTTCCTTAGGCTCCCTTGTCTGCTGGTTCTGTGTATTAACTTTCTTCTCTATTCTGAATTCCTGAGCAGTGAGGATAAACATTTATGATGATCATTTTGATGATAAGTGTGATGATAATGACGATGAAGATGATTTTACAACCATTTAAGGAGCATTTACTATGAGCCAGCCCCTATACTACATACAGCCTATTCTGCTCCAGCATCTATGTAATGAAAATTAGTCCATACATGAATGGTAAACAGGGGGGTATCAATATAATCAAGATTGCATTGATCCATATGTGATTTTCCCCAGCATGTCACTATTTTGCAGCTCAACGCACACAAGTTAATATTTTACAGTTCAATGCACACTGTTTAATAAGCTTAAACATAAACCACACAGGAAGTCATGAAGTAATCCAGTACAGAACACCGTGCCCATTCACCCCGCTTTCTTCCTCTTGGCTCTGCCTTGGAGGAGCTCACTGGGAAGTTTTCCTGGATCTTGGTGCATTTTGCCCTCATCTTTGTAAATTGGCAGCATCTACCCTTACTCGTACCATCTTCCATCAAGCAACCATCACCTTTTCTTAAAGGCAAGTCTCATATTTACTCAGTATTTCTTTTTTTAGGAGAAGTTTAACTGCAATAGTATTTTATTATGACAGGTATTGTTATTCTCAGTGCTTTGGTTACAAATTTGCATAGGTTTTGAGCAACCTTCCCCAACCCTGTTTTTTCCCATAAACCCTCTGCCTTCTAGTGTGCAAGTTTGCAAAATGAGTGGTTTCTGGTTTCTGTGCATATTGCAGAAACACCTGTTCTTTACCCACATAGTCTTATTCAGTTTTTGCCACTATTTTATAGCATAGGTATTATTCCCATCAGTTGATGAAAAGAAACCAAGGCTCAAAAAATTTCAGTCACTTGCCCAACATCTCATTGTTAATGAGAAGGCAAGATGACTTTGAGTCATTATACACACCCCATTTATTACCTGGCCTCATAAACTTCTATTCAGCTACTCTTTCCAGCCTTAGAGAGGACCATGGAGGCAGGGCAGTGAGACACAGACCCCCTGCAGCAGAGTCACAGCGAGGTGGAGCGGTGATCTGCCCTGCCATTCCCTGAGACTGACAGCTCTTCCTTTCCATTTCTTGTGGAAGATATCCCAGAACATTTTTTTTAATTGTTCCAGAAAAAGGCTCCATAAAAATAAATTAAATATGTAGGTCAGCTGTAGCAAGCTACTGATAACGTCACATGAGGGAGGTTGTGGAGTTCTGCAGAGGCAAAAAAAAAGCCAGGCTGAGCCTGACCTGGCCCTGGCTTCACGGTACAGTGATATAGCACATTCCAGAAGAAGAAAATATGATGTTGAGGATTCAAATAAATATAATCCCAGAAGAGATTTTCTACCATCCATTGAGTTCCTTTTAGAAATTGAATGTGATTTGAGGCAAGTACTATTGTTCTTCCCACAGACGAAAACAATGCATTTTTAAAAGAAATTGTCTTACGCAGCATGATACTGGTTTTTTGTTGTTTTTTGTTTTTTTTTATTTACTGAGGAAGATTCACCCTGAGCTACCATCTGTTGCCAATCTTCCTCTTTTTTTGCCCGAGAAAGATTAGCCCTGAGCTAACATTTGTGCCAGTCTTCCTTTATTTTGTGTGTGGATCGCCACCACAACACAGCTGATGAGTGGTGTAGGTCCGAGCCCTGGATCTGGACCTTCGAACCCGCACTGCCGAAGCGGAGTGTGCACAACTTTAACCCCTCAGCCACGGCACCAGCTCCAATCCTGTTTTTATTAAAATAGAATACACACACACCAAACCTTTGAACAGTCAACGTCCAAATTTTAATGGTCTTAATCTCTGAGTAGTAGAATTATGAGTGTTATTTTTTCTAATTTGTATTTTACAAAACGTCTAAAGTGAACAAGCATAATTTTTCTAAAACGAAGTGATAAAAGTCACTTTTGAAAACAAATTTAGGAGAATTTGTGGTTATCTTTCCTGGAAGAAATTGATCTTGTATTTGGGAAAGGCAGTAATAATTGTTTTGAGGTAGATCAGTGTTTTGGTATCACTCAGCTTTGCTGTCCTTCCTATGAATGTCACAGCTCATTGATCTTTTTCCCTGTTCTTTCATTTCAGCTTTTCACAACTCTGCTTCTCCCTCTTCCCGTGCCTTTATCTCATGCACACTTACCTGCTCTTGGTCCATTCTGCCTTTCTTTGTGCCTCTGCTTCTCCCTGCTTTTCCTCGGGCATCACTGCTCCCCGGGATTCTTGCCACCCCAAAGCTGACTCTAGCATTCTCTTTACTCCTTGTGGTGCCAGCATTCACACCTGCTCGCATACTTGTATTGTTTTATGCGTAGTTTTTTTTTTTGCTTGTTTCTCCCAACAATTGCAGTGGCTATTTATCTACTTCTAAGGAACCCATGTCATTTGGGTTTCCTGGAAGTGCCAACAACTAGAAAATTATGCACAAAACAACAGTAAATCTCTATTTCTAAGGTTCTTTCGCTGCCTCTCACTCATTCGCTCCTTAGTTGCAGCAGCAACATGGTCAAACCTAAAAACCAGGGGGCACCTCAGCAAACACACAAAAGGTTCTTGTAGACTACTCTCTCAGACCTTTTTCCTTTTCCTTTTATTGTCTATTTTGGGTGAATTACAATAATAACAGGACCTAATCTCACTAGTAGCTTGATAATCTCTGTGGAAGAATCCTGTAAATCATCAGAGCTTTTCTACAGCTGTGTCTACTTCCATCCATGAATCTTTGTGGTGTTTATCTCCCACCCTTTGACACACATGTTCTCCTGGGCATCCAAAGTTTGCATCAATTCCTGCTCATCGAATCAAAATGAGCATAATGTCATTAATTCACTAATCAGCATGATATTCTGCTTCCACAGTTGATCAAAATGATCAAGGTCCCTGTGGGCTATGTGGTCACAGACAGAAGAGTTAACACAAGACAAGACAGTGTCTATACCCTGTTGTCTTGTAGAAGCAAGCTGGTTTTTTTATTTCCTTTATTGATGGCAATTAGAAAGATCACATTCAGTGAATCAGTAGGTGCACTCCACGTGCCAGAGACTGTCTTAATATATTCCAGTAAAGATGCAACATCTGGTACAACAGCTGCAACTGGGTAGCTCCAGTCACCACCTGCCTCGAACCATCTGGTTTTCACAAGGGCCATACAGGTGAATTGAATGGGGATATAATGGAGGTCCCTACCCTTGCATCCCTTTGCCTATCTCTACAGTTTTTCTTGGGATACATTATTGCTTCTTATTC